CACACACACACGCACACACATTACACATACATACACAAAGCTGTGTAAACCAACTATAAATAACTAAACTTATATACATAAAATACAGAAATGAATGAGGTGGAGTGAAACTACAGAATGTACATGAGGTGCAGTTGCAGTCTGGCAGTGGGGGCAGTGTGACAGGTCGACTGTTTAGAAGGGAGATGGCGAGGGGAAAGAAACTGAATAAAAAGTGTAAAAACCTAAACGTAATAAGAAGTCAGTGATGTGTCCGTCATTCCCCGGGATTTTGCAGATACAATCTTTGATTGTTCCAGGGATAATTCCTGATCACATGACTCTTTTTGATGTTTTTCAATAGTTGAAGCGGGGGCCGGTTATAGCTGTCGGGTTTTTAGAGTGTAGCTGTTGATTTGGTTTTCCTTCACATCCATTCTGAGATCCTGATAAACATGATGTCATTCAGATTGATGATGTCCGTCTGAATGACATCATGTTAACAGATACCAACTATTTCTTTTATCATTTTATTTTGTTAAGTCTCTTTTCATTGGCTCATTTCTTCCATCTCTTAATCGACATTGGGTTTATTCCCCGTGCTTACCATAAACATAATAATAATAACAATTATTATTACAGTTCTACTCTCCTCCTAAAATGAGCTTTTTATTCAGAACGGTATCTGAAAAGTTCAAGTTTCCTCTTTGAATTCATAAAAATTATCGTGTTTGTGTGGCTGTTGTAATCATGCATGTTCCCAGTACAAAAATACCCTCCATAGATTCACTCATTAAAATAATCCGATCAGCAGTGAAGACTAAAGTTTGTTGAATGTATGAAAATCACTTTGTTCATATTAGGAGTCAAACCAACAAAATGTCCCTTTTTTATAATGACGTTGGCTCCATGTTCAAATGGTCTGATGTTGCTGACATCACTGAGTGATGAAGGCAGCCACGCCCTCACCTTCCTCCCTGACGTCATTCTGTGATTCGCCACGTCGGAGGTTTGACTCCTCCGAACGGCTATCCTGAGATACCCCGGAGCAAAGTGCTGTCCTACACCACTCCCCGGGCGCTGGATTGGTGGCTGCCCACTGCTTCACTGAGTGAATGGGTTAAATGCAGAGAGTAGTAATTATTACATCATTATGATCTTTTTACATTTGGGTGGCTTGGACTTTATTCTTCTCTGCAATATTCAGAAAATCCCAAAGAAACACTCAAACTTTCATCAACAAGCTCTTTTGGCTCTTTGATCTATAAACATAACTTTACATAAGACTTTATTTTTGGAACAACTGTAACATTCTTTACAGGAATAAGTCTCTGAAAACGGGTTTATTATGGGTTTAATTTAATTTAATGTTTTATTTTTCCCTCCCTTTTAATCTGTGTCTGTCGAGTTTGTTTAATTGTACGTACTCTTCCAGTGTCTCCTCCATGTGTTATGCTTGTTGTTGTTGAAATAAAGCTGGAGGAAAAACAAACACTGTACATGTTTTTTAAAAAACAAACTTTATTATGGAACAGCACACAGAAAACGTACAACTTGAACAAAATTAAAATAAGCCAGGGGGTGTGATATAAAAAGTTACATACATTCAAATAATTTAAGAGACTCATGTTTGGACGACCTCCACTACGTACTCTGACGTCAGCGCTGTTGCGTCCTAACGTACCCGGAAGTAATTGTGCGCAGTAGCGGCTGCAGCTAGCAGCGGCTAACAGTCCCAGCAGCTCCTCCGAGAGGACAGACGGAACGACAGACAGGTGAGGCTCACGTGCGACCGGCGTGTTTACGACTCTGACAAACAAAGAAAGAAACAGCTGGAGGCTTCACGACAGACACACCGCGTCTGAGTCACTGTTAGCTGCTCCAGCTGTTTCAGCTTCCTCTGTGTGTGTGTGTGTGTCGGCAGCAGCAGCAGCAGGTAGTGTCGGTCACAGGTGACGCCTCGCGGGTCTCTGAGCCCGGTGTATACCCGGTTAGCCTCCAGATGCTAACATAGTAATTGCGTTACTCCAAATACTCTGAGTACTGCAGAGCAACTACTCTGATTAGTTTAAGTAAAACAGTAAAAGACTCGGATTACCTGACTAAAGGTAATTCGATTACGCTTCAGTTACAGATTACTGAGCTGAACTCAGTAGCTTTGCTAGCATGCTAGTTCTATCTTCGGAGTTGAGGTTGATAAGATAAGATTTTGTTACAGCAGAAAGTGGACAGTGTTACACAGCAAAATTAGAAAAAAAAACAGTGGAATAAGATAAGAATAGGATACTGTACACAATAGAATAAAACAGAATACAAATGCTATATACAATTATACAACAATAATACAACGATGCCAGAAACTGAAGTGGGTCCAGTGATGAGCTCACAGGCGCCTATGCTGAGCCAGGACCAGCCGCTCCAGGGTCTTCATCGGGCGGGATGTCAGAGCCACCGGCCTGTAGCTGTTGAGGTCCTTGGGGCGTGAAGTCTTTGGCACTGGTACAACACAGGAGGTTTTCCAGAGCTGTGGGACTCTCCCAGCCTCAGGTTGAAGAGGTGCTCCATCAGCCCACACAGTTGTTATCAAAGGCATCTGCTGTGATGCTCACACCTTTGATAAAGTCTCGCAAGTGTCAGCTTTGTTTTTATAGATATAAAAATATGGAAATGTACTGGTGCATGATCAGAATTATAATATTTCTGACTCTCGGAGGCGAAATTTCCCTGATTGAAATCGAATCGATTCTAGAAATCAGTGACGATACCCGGCCCTAGTGGAGAGTGTCACAGGCTGCATCCGCGTTGGCCCGGGGGGGGTATCGCGATAACATGCGAGAATTGTTGGAACAGGTAGTACGGTCGCATGCTAACGGCTAACAGCTCAATGTCTCTCACAGTGACGTTCCCGGGGTTACACCATCTATCATTTACAAACACTGCCAGCCCTCCTTTCCTCTTACCGCTCTCTCTCGTCCTGTCCGCCCGCAGCAGCTGGAATCCCGGTAGCGTCACGCTCGTGTCCGGAGTTAGCGGTGTTAGCCAGGACTCCGTTAGCATCATGATGCTACATTGCCAGTGTCATGCCAGCACCACTGCGGGATGCAGCGCTAACAGCTGATCCCTACTGTAAACAAAGGATCCATGCGCTGGGTCCCCAAACACGGCTGAAAAAGGTGGGAAAAAAGAGAGAAAGACAACCAAGACTAGCACAAAACGGTAGTCCATGATTGCAGAATCTAATTGCTAAAACTTTAGTTACAAAAAAGTACGAGAAAGTAAAGAGGAGATAAGAAAGAAGCTCAGAATGAGCGGAGCTGCTGTAACAGGCTGCCACACACGGGGGCGCCGGAAGTAAGGTTTTCAGGGGTCATCACACTGACCCTAAAGTAATTCATGCTAAAAATCTCGCTCTGTTAAGGACATATATAAATATGAAATAATAAAAATAAATAAAATGAGAAGGAAAAATTCTGCATTAATAATTCTGTTTCATCTGCACTTTAGCAGGTGCTAAAGTACTCTGATTACTACAGTGAGAGTACTCTGATTACTGTATGGTGGCAGGTGTCAGGACAGTGGTTATCTGTGTGAAAACCAAAGACAATTCAACTTTGATAACAGATATATGATTAACTTGTTAAATTTAATGGCTAAATTTCATATTCACAAGTCCAAATGTTTAGGAAGACATCCCCCTTTTTATGTATTCTCCTTTGAACTTAAAGTATCTTAATTCAGTTAAGAGCTCCACTAACCCAAAAGCTATAAAAACTATTGGTGTTTGTGAATCTTTCAATCACTTTATTCTTTGGCTTGATCAGTTACTTTCCCCCTAGCATATTTAGGTTCTGAAGTACAACACCATTAATGTGGCACTGTTTAATTCTATTTTGTATTGTACTGATGTTTAAATAAAGGTTTGAATGAAAAAAAAAATTGATACTGAAATACTGAAGGAGGCATTCGATTGGCTGTTTTCCTGAGAACTCATTTCATTGGTTAGATGTTGTAAACACTCCCTGTCATGATCATGATTGCTAACTGTTAGCATCTGTGCGTGTGAGCAGCATGATAATGTCACATTAGGTTGGGCAGTCACATGACCTGTTACCTGTCATCAGGTGTGTCTGTGGATGGAAGTGTGCAGCTCTGCAATGGGACCAGAGCGCGTCTTACCGAGCTCCGAGGACGAGCTGGGAGAGGACGAGCGACCGACGGACGGAACGCTGCCGCCGGGTGCCATGTGGGGTGGGGGGGATGGGGAGGAGGAGGCAGTGGGGGAGATGGAGCTGGATGGCGAGGAGGAGGAAGACGAGGAAGATGGCAGTGGGGGAGGGTACTACTACCAGCCTCTGAACCAGGAGCCCGACGGTGTGAACGGTGGCGAACAGCCAGAGGATAACGAGCGGGGGGAGGAGACGGGGGAGGCGGCCTCCCACTCCGAGCAGCTGCAGCAGGTGCAGCAGCGGATAGAGGTGAGATCTGCCCCGCGACAGGTGAACCACGCCTCCCCTGGCGCTCAGCTTACCTGCACATCTTTCCACAGGTGTTGGGGCTGCACCTCCCCGAAGCTCCGCCTCCTGACAGCGACGAGGAAGAGGACCCCGAAGGAGCAGCTTCTGAGAGGAGCCGCGCCTCCATCCCCATGGACGCAGGTGAGACACACACCTGTGACACCTGTTCGGTGACTCAGAATAAACACTGACATCACTTCCTGTAACCCGCAGATCACGTCGAGCTGGTGAAGAGGACGATGGCGGCCGTGGCGCTGCCATCTTTGGGTGTGCCGCCGTGGGCGCGGGAGATCTCCGACGACCAGTGGAAGGACATGGTGCGTGACACGCTGCAGAGCCGACAGAGCGCCGCCGCCCTGCGCAAACCTCCCCGGGCCCTGAACGCACCACAAGAACTACATCAACTCTGAACTCTGACTGTCCTTGAATGCACCACATAGACATCACCATCACCGCGGGACCCTGAACGCATCGCGACCATTCCTACAGATTAATAGACTGAGCCCGAGCCCCCAGGTGACATTGGACACCTGAGCTGAGCTCACCTGTAGCTCATTATGACCACTTCAGGGCCCAAAGATAAATACAGTGCTTTGTTTCTCCAGAGAAGTGTAATTTATTGAAGCCCGTAAAGATTCCAGGTGATCAATATGGTAATTATGAATAATCAATTAACAGTTTCAGTGAGTGATTGTTCTGGTGTTTGTTTGTCACTGGATAAAAAATCAGATATGTAACTGACAATAATGTCGTTTACTAACTTTAAAATCATACAGATATATAAATCAGTTATTGATCACTGTTTGATAACTCATGCCTGACTTATTTTGCACCTGTGTGAAAACACCTTCCTATCTTTCCCTTTCCAAATAAAAGCGTCACACCGGCGCACGGTGTAAATGTAGTTTCACTGGAATATTTTTTTTCTTGTCTCTGTGACGAGTTTTTAAACTGAAGTGGAAGATCAAATAAAGTCCGACTTCAATGTTTGCATCAGTGTTTTATTGTGAAACAGCATCGGTCCCCAAACTGTTTGTGCACCAGCCTCAGCTGGTTTCATTCCAGCTGTGAACAGGATGTTTCTGAGGGTCAGCGCGTCCGAGAACATCAACGGGAGCTTGAACGCAGCACTGCAGAGTTTTGGGGTCATTTGAAGCACTCCCTCCTTCAGCTTGAGTCTGAGCGCGTGATGGGGAGCAGTCGTGGGTTTACATCCAATCAGATGTCAACAATGAACAGGCTCCGCCCCACCAAGCAGTTCAGGTTGTTTAAATGGACGAGTTAATCAGACTGAGTTTAGTTCAGGGACGCCGCTGAGATGTTTGAGTGTTGCTGTGAGACAGGTGAGACCGCCATCTTTGTAGTTTTTTGTAGTTCACTTGTGTGTGCGTTTGAAAGAAACACGCAGTGGGCAGATTGACTGTACTTCAGTTTATTACTGCTGAACATGAACATCTGAACAAAATCAGACTTTCATACCATGTGATGCTCGACCTCTTTAAACATCTGTACACGATGACAGGAAGCAATGTCTCACTGTCACGGCCCGAGTGGACAGCACGCCGTCACATGACCCCGCTCCACCTGTCAGTCACTGCTGGAGGGAAAAACAAACAGCTGTTTGTGCTAAAGGTTTGGTTCAGCAGCGGATTCAAAAACATTTTTTCAGCTCTCATAAAAAAACAAAAATATAACTTAAAGACTGAGTGCAGGAAAGTTTGGTTCAGCCTGGAAACGGAAGCTTTCACTCCAGCAGCGAATGACTGACAGGCGGAGGGGCTAACACTGGAACGGTCTCCGATTCTGACTGACAGCTGGGTCTGTAGAAGACACGCCAACACAGCAGCAGGAAGAAGTGCACGAGCGACAACAAATGAAAAAGGCCCACAAGAACAAAGACTAGAAAGTATGTTGGTGTGGCCACAAGTCCGTACGTGGGATGGTTACAGAAAAGACCGTCCACCTCCACGGAGGCCTTTTTCTTTTGTTCCTCATGTTTCAAACTGTTAAACAAAAACACACGAACGGCGAGGTGGACGTGTCACAGCGTGCAAAATGTTTGGCCAATGAGGTGCTAAATTCATACAACTGACTTCATGTCAGCGACGCCAAACAGGAAGCTGAAAACGAGCCAATCGCATTGTTCCAAATCTGCTTTTATTACGAGCATCAAAACTGAAACTAATTAAGTTTACGCCGTGAAGAATAAAGGACGGATCGTGTGACCTCAGCAGCCAATAAGGCTCCGACTCCACTGACAGAAAAATCAAACACATAAAAATAATAATTATTTTATAAAGAAGTAAAACGTAATAAAAAACAGTAAAAAAAAAAAAAAGGTGAAAATTAGATTTTAAAAAGTTACAAATTTGAAACTAAACTGTGAAAAAAAAAATCAAAAAGAAGTTGCTGCTGTTTTACATGATGACGGCGTCGCTAACCTTTCCTCCTGTGTCCTCTTTAAGGGCCCTCCCATCTGGCACCAGTGCAGTCAATCAATAACTGATCAATAATCAGAAGCGTTTGACCTTTAACCCGAGGAGCTGCTGGCTAACACTTGAGGCGAGGCGCCCTCAGCTGGACTAAAACAAAGATACACAGTGTGTGTTGGGGGGGTCCTGATAGGATGTTTACATTCACTGCGTCTTCCACATCATCATCATCGGCCCGCTTCAGTCTGCCAGACGTACAGACTAGCAGTCGACTGGCAGAGCTAGGGTTCAGGGGCGGAGCTGTGAAGCCGCTGTTGGAGAACCAAGCGGGTCAGTGAACGCATCAGCGCTGCGTTCAGGTGCAACGGGACAGAAGTGAGGAGCTGCAGCAGCACTGCGAAGCCCAGACCACTCTGCGTCTACTTCTCGTTTCCACGGAAACACTAGGTCAAAAATCCCCCCTGAGGAAGGGGCTCTACACAAAAAACTCCGCCCACGGTTCATGCTTTTACTCTGAAATGTCAGAATGCTGTAGCTGATGCCTTTTTGTTGAACTGTGAAGATGATGCTTTTATTCTGAAAAATAGAAAATGAAAAGCATTTAGTTTGAAGCGTACAGATGCTACAGCTAATGCTCTTATTCTGAAACACATCCAGGTATTTTCAGTCCTGTTTTTATTTTGCAGGTAAAATTTTAGTTGATTGTTTCGGCCGACTTTTATTTGTTAGCGCGTTTGCGATCATCGCTGTTCTGCTGTCCTGAAGGTTCTGCTAAGGTCCTGATCACTAAAAAACAGGAACCAGCTGACCTGCTGCTGGCTCGCTGGATGAAGCATTCAAAGACGATTGTAAAAGTAACGGTGAGGCGTGTGGGCAGAAAGCAAATGCAGAGACAGCAGCTGCAGATCGCGCAGCGTGGCATCCTGCGGCAGGACAGGCTGCCGGTGATGCGTTGGTGTGCCCGATGTGGGTTCAGAACAAACAGCAGCAGTTAAAGCGTGGGTGGAGGCGTGGGAGTGTTAGTGCAACATGAAGCTGATGTCCAATCACGGTGGACCGCTGACACAGTTTAAACAGCAGGTGGACGGACGGAGCTTCTACAGTGTCCTACGTGTGGTCGGCCACCGGGGGACAGAGCTGAGCCGTTCTTATTTTTTTATTTATTTTTACTTTATTTTTTGGGTGAACGCGGCGGCGTCAGCTCCGCCCTAGTCTGACCCGGGACCAGGCTCTCCACGACGGCATCAACTTCCTCCCCACGGAGACGGACGCGAGGGGGCGGAGTCTGGATTAGGAGGGGCCGCCTCCTCTGGTCAGAGAGCCTCCTGATTGGCCGTCAGGTACTCTTCAGCTCGCTTGTGAGCCTCCAGAGCTTTGATGGTGTAGACGTCCTGCGGCAGCTCCGACTTCCTCCTCATCAGGACCTTATCCTTCTTTAGATCCTTCAGACCCTGCATGCACACACGCACACACACACACACACACAC